AAAGAAACTTACGAAATTCTCCAGGTACTTCTGTTGTTCCGAAGTAAGCTTCAGGGATTTATATTTCGCAGTTCTCGCCGCGCAACGCGAAGCTCATTTTGAGCTTGAGCCGTAAGTCCTATCATATTTTCCATCACCACATAAATGGTACCACTCTTCCTGGCTGTATAATACGCATTCTATCTTTGTTATGTGCTAATGTAATTCATTAATGAATACGTATATAAAAGTGCGTGCTGATAATACGATATAATGTGCTGATAATATGCATGCTAAATTTCTGAACGGGATATAAACATGAAATATAAATATGATAAGCCTTCCACTTATTTTTTCCATAATCAATAACGGTCCATATTCAAGATTGCTCATTAAAAATTCTGAACTTTTTAATATAAAAAATAATACATTATATATATATATATATATTATGTATGTGTTTATCTGTGTTTATACGTTGTAAAGTATGTAAATATTTATTTTTAATAAATAATAAGTCGCGGTGTGTATTCTGAAAGAAAATTAGAATATTCGATAATTAAGAAAACAAACCGCAGGATCATGTTCGTTTGAGCTCGCGAAAGTAACGCGTTACTCTCTAAGATGTTTGGACTCCAAGCTCGGACATCCGTGCACGAATGTACAACTTCAAACGACCCTCCGATCTCTTTTTCGGCAAGACATAATCCCATAAGTCAAGGGTACACCACTACTTGGTCTGCCCGCTAAAAAATGCGCGGTCCATGCTCGGCGTAAGACATATCTGTCCCGGTATTTTAAATCCCTCTCACGATCGGATATGTACAAGATTTTCGTTTCTTCCTTAAGCTTAATAAATGACCCACGCAAGGTTACAAATTTGGTGTTGACTGTATTTTATTTAACACCATAGTAACGAGAAGAGACATCTCGATACTCGGGATAATGAGAGGAAACGTGTGGAAAATGTCGTGGAATTTTATACGGAATTTATAAGCATAAATAAGAGGGTAAGTTAGAAAATACAATAAAATATCTTTATTTTGTAAGCTGCCATTAAGAATTACAGCGTTAATAAGTACTTTCGTCCTCGTAATGTATTAAGTATCTCTTATTTATACTAAGAACTACACGACTATTGCGTAAAATATATATCTAATTCCATCTCATGAAATCTAATTTAGCACTGACACCCCTCCACGTAAACAACTACGGTTCGATGAAGCACTAAGTACGAATGAAAAAGAATTTCTTACAAATGTGTCCAGTTCGCACTCTATTTGGTTAAGTACAGAAATGATTTCTCGTCTAGAGAAACAAATACATACAGATTAAACCTAAGATCATCTTATGATAATTCTCTAAGTCATTCTTTCGTTGAAAAATCACTCTCTAACTCGCATACCATACCTATTTTCCCTAAGAAAGACATCCCTTTTTAATATCATACATGATCTGTGACATATGAATGTCCGAGCTAAGAGATAAGAACATTCGAGAAATAAGAAAAAAAACATGCAAAATATATATTAGCGATACATTCGAGGGAATTATGCGATTAATAATTTGGCAATCGATAGGCCTGTTAAAAATGCGCTTATCGCGGAAGTCCAAGTGATATCTTGCGATTACGATAAACTGACACTCAATAGAGAATAATCTAGGGGAGATATTTATATATACACACATTCACACACGTCTTTCCGAATTAAGAAGTAGAAAAAGTGGAATCGAGTGCATATAAAAATAGATTCGCGCATAATTATGAAGGCAGTATAGATTTCTTAAAAATGGTACTCTCGCTCTCTTCTCGTTTCAACGATGTAAATATACATATAATTAGATTTCAATAATGTTTCCTAACATTAATTCCACTTTGATAAAGGCACACAAGATATACAAACAACAATATTTTACACATGAAAATATGATCGTTATTTTCCTGATATTTCTATATTCGATACCTACCCGCCTAAAACGCATTTCCTCAGTCTGCAATTGGATAACAGATAACATAGATAAAAATGAAATTAAAATTCAAAAACTTCAACAGTCTAAGCATGAGGTGGGGAGTAGACGAAATAGATACACGAATAGACTGCATTATAAAAAAAAGGAATGCTTATATCATTTTTAAAAGTAGCTGGAATGAATAATGTAAGGCCACTTTTTTTGTAGACGTTATCATATCAGACTACAAAAATTTATATCGATTTTTCTGCTATGAGATTATCGATCATTATTTACATTAATATAAGGCCCCTTTCAGTCGAGACAAAGTTGTTGAGTCCCATTTTTCTGTGCATTATGTACAATCAAGTATCATTAATGAGCATCTAGATGAACAGTAAATATTACCCCAATTTGAAAAATATCCATTATAAAAAATCATCCATTTCATCCATCTTTTAAGTACATTATTAGTTTCAAATAATTAATTACTAAATGAAAAAATTATAATACTTTGAATAATACAGTCGATATCAAATTATCTGTCGAGTAAGTAAGATAAATAATACTTTATAAAATAAAGGAGAATTTAATTATTTCAGACTTATATAATTTTTTATGATTATTCTTTGATTATATGTAGGAAATAAAATACCCTTTTTTCAAATTTCTTCTAAAACTAATAATGTTGAATTGCTCTTGATTAGTGTTATTCGTAAATGTAAAGAAAATATTTTGATCAATGTAGCTATACATTCAACTATCGAGAAGAAATTCAATGCGATCGTGAAAGGCACTAGAGTATAAATATACTGTAAAAAAATACAATGTGATATAATCCATTGCTTTCTCTCTCATCTATAAGATATAACGTCATTAGAATAACAATAATGTATAAGATCAATGATTCTACAATTGCTCTGTTTCTCATAATAAGAAATACGACGTTCTTCCCCACGTATTTCTTTTTTTGGAATTTGCAGAAATATCGATTTAATCAATCGCACTTTTTTCTGTACATTTACCTTATCTCGATTCTTTATAACTAGATCTGCTAGATTTTATGATTCTTACATGCAAGGCATGATATTTATCTTTCAGAGTCAAAGCCATAGAATAACATTAGTTATTCCAAAGTATTGATTTTATAGGTCGAAGACACTGTTATACTGACTAACGAACAAACACTCCTCGCATTAATCAACTTGTCTAAAAACTTCATAAAATTCCAGGATCAACGTGATTATTGTCGTGTATACGTGTTTCTGTATAAAGCCTTATTCCTAGACAACTTCTCTCGCGAGCAAACATTAGCGGACGCTATTAAATTGAGCATAATTTAACCCTCTGTCAACGAATTCTGAGTCACTTATGACCTATCTTAAAAATGTTTTATAAAACTCGTGCAAAAAAAAAAATTTTTTATGTGTATTATACAAAAATATCAATAATTTTTATTGTTTGAATATTTTTAATTATTGCATAGTAGTATATTAAGGAAAAATATTTGAAAATTTATATATATATATATATATATATGTATATACAAAGCATCCTTTACAACGCTCGTGAGCAGATAGAGCCACAGAAAACTGAACAGAAAAGTCTTATACCATTTTCCGAAATTCGCAATGTTTATTGAGTTAGTAATTAAAATATCTAAGTGGGCATGTCGGATGGCTTATTTGTTTATACCGCTTAGGTATAAGCCATCCCGCTTATTTGCTTAGATATTTTAATTACTAACTCAATAAAAGTGTGAATTTCGTAAAATAGTATAAGACTTTTCTGTTCAGTTTTCTATGCTCTACCTACTCACAAGCGTTGTAAAGGATGCTTTGGGACACGTATATATAAATATATGTATATATCCTAGATTATAATTCATAAAAATTTTTAATTTAGGATATGTAAATTTTGCTATAGATCAAAATTGTGACTCAGCTTTCGTTATGCGCGACCATCCGTTATCCAAGGTAATCCTTGAAATTAATCATTATCAATCTAGAGATGTAAAACACCCTGATCGTGACTGTAATTTTGATGATGGTGATGATGGTGATAGTGATGGTGTTGAGCAGACGACGCCGAGGCGTCGTCCTGCATTGTCAAACCTGTAAGATCGACAATCTCATCCGCCTCCTCATCGCTACCAGCGCTTTGCGTGGACTGATGACTTCCCGAAGACAATTGACTATTACGTGAGAACGAACCGCGGCGAGGTGCAGCCAACGCTGCCCTCTGATTTGCCGGTTTGACAGTTATAATGAGATTGGAAGAATTCGCTATCATCATATCCGTCACCTATTCCATACATAAATAACCGTATAAAAAATAGGTGAATTACTATAATATATCCTATACTACCTATACTTCATTTTTACAAGGCAATTTTTAATTATTTTAGAGAATGTTTTAAATATGCTACAAAGAGTGCTCCAATTATTTTACTCAAATAGCAACAATGCATATAATTGCATAAATTAGCATAAAAATATGCTTTAAAATGCATTTTGTAAAACAAATTATATTTAGTAATTTAATAATTTAATATATTGCTTTTATAAAAATTATTTCTATAAAAAATATTATTTACCTGATCAAGTGTTTTTCCTGCAACCTCTATTCCATTCACTTCCAGGACCTCATCATTTACAGCTAGAAGTCCTGTGCTCTCTGCTAAACCACCTGGTACCAATCTGCTGATAAACACACCTGGAACTTTCTCAATTCCCCCTCCAGCTGACGATGGCAATATGCGAAAGCTTTCACCATCTTTAATGTAAAATCCTAGAGGCTTATCAGAACCATGTTTCAAAAGACGTACACGTCGACAAGTTTCTGGCAGTATGTCGACATCAATAATTGCGGACACCTGATTGCAAAAATAATTATATGCCAAGTCAGTTGATATTACGAAGCACATGAGAGAATAATCAACAAAGTGTAAACTTACCTGCCTAAAATCATGTGGATTTGAAATAGCAATAGATTTTGGCTTTCCTGGCGTACCACCCAGGATACTGGATATCAGATTTTTGGGTTTTATTGTCCCATATCCATTGTCCCATGCTCCGTCACCTGCCCCACAATAATTAAATTAAATATATAACATATACATACAGATTCACCAAATATATGCAAAACCACTGTATATATGTGAATAATTTTACCTTTTCTCTGTATAAAAATTCGGAGCAGACACCTGGTGGCCAATAGAGCTCTAGCCAGATTGTTATCATTATTGATGGGAAGTAGATCACCATCTGTATCCGTATACCAAATTAAAAAGTTAAAATCTGCCCCTAAATCATGCCGTTGCGCCAAAGTTTGCCAAATTCCTCGTAACTCACAGGCTCGTTACGATTGATGGAAAATCTGATGATGTCGGCGTCGAACTGCAAAACAATTTAAACAATGCGCTATTGAACATCCGACAAAAGTCATTCTTCATCAACGATCTTTCTACTCACTTTGCTCTTCACGGCGACGATGCCGTTGTCCACCTTGTCGTGCTTCTTAGACATAGCAGCGTAGAAATATAACAAGTATGGACACACTTTCGCGCTGTCGACACCTTTAATTTTTGGCAACGAGCTTGAATGAGCTTAGATCATTGAACTCATATAGAGTTCATTCTGCATTCAAAACATGCATCTTCATCTCTTTCACAGGTTGCAGCACTGAGCAAATTTTGTCCGCTTGAAATGCTCCAATCAGATCTCGAGGAGATGACATCATCGGGTTTCTATTGGATATGGCTAAAAATTCCCTAGAGATGGACAAACAAACAAATTGTTTTTGATTGATCGTATCACTTTAATTTATTATCTATGCTCGAACGTTGTTATTACATTGCTGATGTTATCCGGTATAATCTGATTATTGTCATATATATTCTGTTAATTCGTGTGAAAGATATAAAAAAGAACAGGGTAAGTGTAAGAAAATAGTGTAAAGCTTAAGAAACAGAAATAAGAATAATTATTAATCACAAAATAACAAATTTTATATTTTTATACTCATTGTATTATTAATATATAGAAATTGTAATATATTGTTTAATGTTATCAAACGTTAATAATGTTATATTATTGTAAAATGCAATTTGTAATTTGTTTCTAGATGGATGATCAGGATTCAACAAGTGTTATTAATATAATAAAAGATCTATGTTCTGGATCAGAATCCTATCGCAGAAGTACTGGAGTATCGGCACGATTTTCAGGAACTAGCTTTACACGTTCTAGATTCAGTGATAGTAATGACAGCATTATCTCACCAAAACGACAAAAACTAGATGAATCTGAATCATCTACAATTAACAAAACTCAATCTGATTCTATCCCAGGTAGTCCTTGGGAATGGCGACGTATGAAAGGAGAGGTAAGATGGCACATACATATATTAAAAAATGATAAAGTGCACTATATAATTATATAAAATAGATACAATCTGAATAAAAATATAAAGTAATTTAATGAAAAACATTTCCATTTAGATTATATCATTAAAGACCAGATTGACTCACCAAGAGGCAACTGTGCAACAGCTTCACAATATACGCAGACAAATGGAAGAAATTTTTGAAAAGGAGAAAGGTCTCTTACATATCCAGGTGGAACAGGATAGGCAAACCATTCAACAGTTAGAAGTTCGATTAGATGTTGCACGGCGAACAATCCAAGATGCAAGAGAAGCACAAGCTACTGCAGAAAAAGAATGGTCCCAAGTAATTACATGTTAATAAATCTTACATATTAATTCATATATATTTTATTCCATAATATATTTTTACATTTTTTGATTACATTTTTAGACAAGAAACAATTTAGAAAAAAAAGATAGAAACATTGTTAACTGAAAATGCAAGATTATCAGAGAATGTGAGAAATACTTCTGCAAAAGAAATATCTCCCCCTCTTCAAGATACTAATGAATCAAATGAATTACAATTGAAATTGGAAACTGCAGAAACTAAAGCAGCAATGTTGGAGGAAAGGATGAAGGATTATCTCAAGATGCAACAAGACTATGAATTACAAAATGTGGAACTGCAGAATATGAAAATTAAGTTAGAAAAAGTCGAGTCAGAAAGAGCATTGTGGGAAGAGGGCAAATTATTAGCAGGAAGAGCGGCAAGAGCGAATGATTTCGAGAAAGAATTGAATATGATGAAAAAGACTGTTACAATTCTAAAAGAGTCAGTCAAAGAAAAATTACTCTTGGAGGAGCAAATGGCCAATATGACAAAAAGGTATTTCTCATGTATTTGGAAAACGTTATTTAACATTTATTTAACAATGCATGGTTTATTATAGATTGGAGCACACTGAAAAAGTGGAGCAACAAGTCGCGATATTGGAGGCAAAACGATCCGAACTTTCACTTCGCTTGCAAGAATACGAAACAATTGGCATTATTGGTGGACCAATGGCGGTAAAGCGAGAGCTGAATCGACTTCAACAGGCTGAGGTGGACTTGAGAGCAGAGGAAGGTCAGTTGAGATCAAGATTGGATGCGGTGCTACGAGAATCACAGAATTTGGCAAAGAATTATGAGAATGCGAAGAAGTTGGCTGCTGATGTGACATCATCAAAGGAAAAATTAAATAAGCTCGTAAGCAGGTTGCAAAAGAAGATGATTCTTGTCACCAGAGAGAGAGACAGCTACAGACAACAATTAGACTTGTATGAGAAGGAGATGACGATAGACAGCAACAATGCGATGACCGAAAGAATACCGGCTTTAGAACGCACTATAGATGGATATAGGTATATTCATATACTAGTACATATCACAAATATTTAATTAAATTAAAAGTTATTTTATAACAAACATATTTTCAATATTATTTCAGGGAATTGGTTAATAAGTTGGAAACAGATCTTGAAGCAGCCGAGGTTGGCACACAGAAGAACGAATGTAATAAATTGAGAGAAGAAATCGAGCAATTGAGAGGCGAGCTCGAGCATCGAGCGTTAAAGGGAGATTTCAATTGCAACGCTCGAGTTCTACATTTCACAATGAATCCCACGGCAATAGCAGAGAGACAAGTCGAGGAAAAACAAGCGGCTCTATTACGAGAAGTGGAGGAACTTCGAACCAAGGTGGGATCAGGAAATTATGGTGCGACTACATCATCGTTGCAAACGCAAGGTACGTAATAACGATATTTACATCTAACTTACAATATTCTTTGCGCAACTATTTATTTCTTTTTTTCAATATAGAAATTGTAGAATTGAAGCAAACGCACGAAATAAAGATAGCACGCTTGAAGGAAGCTTTTAAGGCATCATCACAGGAATTTCGTCAAGCGTGCTATCAATTATTTGGTTGGAGAGTGGACCGAACAAAAGAGGGTTATTATAAGCTATTGAGTCAATATGCAGAATCGCAGGATGATTTTCTTTTCTTCCATATAGGAGAAGAAGGTGTGGATATGTTGGAAACCGACTTCTCCACAAACCTAAACAGTCTGATTGAGCAATATTTGCAAAGACAGCATAGTGTTCCTATGTTTCTTAATGCTGTACAATCCGATCTTTTTAGTCAGCAAACTGTGACAAATATAGTGACATAATTCTATTCTGTATTATTAATGAAACCAATGTTCTTATTTATAGAGTTAATCAGACAATATACAATATAGAATAATGTAATATTATTTGAATTACATTTATCACACTAAATGCGCCTAATAAATTTTTATATTTCTGTGTAGAAAGCTGTTGACACACATACACACATACACACATATTCATATACAACGTATCAATTATTAATGGTAAAGTAATTTGAAATTATTTTACATATGAATGTCATAAATATTACCTATGAATAATCATCATATTTATAACAATAATTTTCTGGATTTTTTCTATAATCTTCAAATATTATTTCAAATCTATTCCATGATAATAACAGATTTCTTCTATAATCAATTACTATAAAGAATGACTTGCAATAGCAATTTAGAACGAATTCTTGTAATTTTTATTTCACTATTAATATAAGATATATATATGTGTATGTAAGAAAGTTAACAAATTAAATTTTCGAAAAGTAGTGCAAAAAATATCAATGCAGCAAATTGTAAATAAATATTCTAGATATTTAATAACTTATTTCTATAAGAAAAACTATAAAAATATTTCAGATAACATTTTCGAAATTTTTTTTTATCAAATCAGAGATAATTCTAAAAAAGGTAAATAATTTTTAAGAGCTGACAGACAACTAAACAGGGAGGCATCAAAAATAAAATTATTTTCTTCTATTTCACGCATTATAAAATTAGAAAAAATTTCCAGAAATATTTTATATGTATGTATGAAATGTATATAAAATTTGTGTGTATGTGTAAAATTACATCGAAGCTTGATTCTACAGAGAGATTAAAACTCAAGTTTGATCATAATCTTCTTTCTGTATTCGCAATTTGACTTTATTAGTTACAAGGACACAATAATATCCTACCACGATTCTCTTCGATAAAAACTTATATCGTGAAAACTCGCCGAACTCTTACCGTGCATAAAAATCTTGCGAGAGAGGGCTACGTCAAGTTGAAAATCGCGTTGGGCCATCCCAGCGGCTGTCCCGCGGGACACGTTACCGCTCGACCACACTCGTACGTGCTCTGAAAGGGGAAGCCTGTGTGTCCCAGAAGACCGATTTCCATTGCTTTGTTCGAGGAAGGAACTGTGACGGTGATCTTCATTAGTGACTAAGTCGCTATATGGGATACCACTGCACCCACGTCACTATATATGAATAAATGCGCACTCTCACACATTCCTAAAACACATAGCATTTATGCATATAAATGTATGCACCGGTGTGTGTATATATATATTATATAACATATATGCATATGCATTTCTGGATGACCAAAAGCATTTCATGGTAACGAAGAGGAAGCGAGAAAGAGGAAGGGAGAGACAGTCGTCTATACTATAGCTGACGACGGGAACTCGATATAGCGGTGCCAGCTGCAAAGGACTCGAGTCGACGGGAACTCCCGAGCTGAAACTCCATTATCCTTAATTATAATCGCGTTTAATCGCAAACTCATCCTGCGCTCTCCCTCGCATACGTGCCGCTCTCGCGCCTCGTAGATCCGCCGTCGTCCTTATCCTCGTCTACGTCGTCGTCGTTTACGTCGCCCCTCATCGTCTCGCATTCGCCATTGCAACCGCTGTCGGTTATCAATCCGGAATCAACGCGCGGGTATTTCTTCGACGGGAAGTAGCTGATGGCCTGACAAAGCGATTATCCGCATCACCGCGAGAGAAAGAGAACCGTGCATCCTTTCCTATGGCCTGGCAGGCATATATACAAAGTGCACGGAGCGTATCGACGATAGGCGAGAAAGACGACGGTTTAAGTACCTCGAGAGGAAGTGCCAGACCTCGAGAAATATCGATGCGGGAGTCGCACGCAGGTGCATGATTAATGCGGTCGTACCGCAGAGTTATCACCACGTGCGGGAGAATCGCATTCTATTAAGACCTCACGCGAGCGGACCGACTGATCATTGCTATCAGTACCGAATTGTGCTTCTCTCTTTGATCTCGAAATTGAAATATCGTGATTTTTAAAGAAAATTTTACCAAAAATTTGCTGAAAATATATAGGGCTTTATTAATAAATTAGATTTTTTTTTCCCGAGATCAAAGCAGCTTTTAATCTTATATGTCATCTTACAAGAATATTCCTTTTAGCCTCTATTTAAACATACGTAATAATTCAACTGCAAAGATGAAATGCGATGATCGAAAGCTATCTAATTACGATGAATTAACTTATTTCTGAAACGTCTATTTCTATATACACTCTAAAACTCAATTATCGCGACGAGAATGTCAATTATGAAATTAACACAGGGACCATTTCGCTATCCTTCAGCAGCATCAAGTGCAATTCACTAAAATTATATCAATTTCGACGATTTTGGAAAGATCTTTTCGATTTTTTCTGAGAATTTTACTCACACGTTAATCTCTCTTATAATCACATATATCTTACCTGATGATCTATCGCGATTTTGCGTGACGTTTTTTCCAAGCCTCCCCTAGTTTCTGCAAGATCACTGCTCAGCCACGTGAAAGAATACGGACGTATGTAGCCGTCATCGGTATAGAGGTCCCGCGGAGAAAGATAATCAATCGGGCTGCGCAGGATAAACCGGTATCTTATCAAAGTTGGCCTATCTTCGCGAAACTTGCTCGCCTCCTAAGGCGCCGTGGCATGACAAGAGTCGCGCGCGAGTGCGACGGAGAAGCTCTCATGCGAAAAGGAAGAGAACAAATCATACATGTGTGTACGTGTGTGTGTGTGTATATGACACGCAGTGGTGTTGATGAGGCGTAGGAGCGAGAAGACAGAGGACGAAAGGGAGAGGACTGTCATGGGGGATGAGAGGTAGAAGGGATGCTGGTAGACTTTGCGCTAACTTTCGTGTCCGTGTGCTCGCGGCACCGCCAGGAGGAACTTTGTCGATCAGAGTTGCGAAGGAGATTCTCAGTTATGTTGGCAGTGCCACCCCGTAGATACCTCTGGAGCAGAAAGGGGTGAATACGTCTCGTCGGTCGGATAATGCGGGATATGGTTCGCGCCGCGGGGTTGCCCTCGTCTTTGAAATCGTTTCTGCCGATTCGATTGTCTCCGTCGATGCGATGTAACGATTTATCTTTTAATATTAAGAAATAGTAATTTTTTTATATCCAGTTCTTATGATGTAAGTTTACAATTAATTTTATATAGCGATAATCATTAGAAACTTTTCGCTGCAAAATTTAATTCGTTCCACTTTATACAGCGTAATGAAATTTAAAATTTAATCTACATGACAATTTAATCTACATGGTTATTAAAAAAATAAGGAATAATTATATCAGAGAGAGAAAAATGAAGTAGATATGCGAGTAAGAGAAATAAATAATGTTTAATAAAAACATCAGAAGATATATTTATTATAATTAATTATGTTATATCATAATTAATCTTTCCGACATACTTAAGGTATATAAGTCTTTTTATCGCAAAGTAGTACTTTTAGCATCGCTAAAGAACTTGGAGACGATCGTAAGAGTCAGCGAAGGAAGCCCGAGGTCGGAAGATGCGAGCGCGAAATAGGTCAGAGAGAAGAATAATTATCTATTTCTCGGCTCTATTACACCTAAAGTACCAACTAAAGAGGAAAAAGCTAGTAAGGAGCGCGACAGGCCCGAGGAAGCAGCAAATCACTTTAATTTTCAAAATCGTTATAGCAGTAACCCCGATGAAAGTTTTCAACTGCATTCGCGTTAAGCTTTTAAGCAGCGGTACAAATTGTACGAAAGATTTTTTCCATTCGCATTACATTTGCGTACAAATTTAATGACGTCCGCTTTCCATCTTCTACACGTTAAGCTTCCAACTCGCAGGAAAAAATTATATATATAATGATGCAAAAAAATATATATTTTTATTTATTTTCTTGCCAAGTCGAAAATTTAATTTCGAAGAAGGCTTCGACGACTTACTCTAGAATTACGATTAATCGTCTGGATTTGTCGAAAGAAAGGAGACCGCGAAGTGTATCGTAAGTGGAAAATCTCAGTCCCGCGAATTTCGCTTTATTTGGTCTCTCATCCGACCATGTGCGAGCACACGAACGCGGAGTAACGAAGAAATATTAACGCTAAGCCAACGAATGAATACGAATCCGCACTTTATATCTTGGTAAGGTCGGATACGCGGGGTCAGAGAGACCGAAATAAAAGCTGATGGTCGCTCGACGCGCTCGATGGTCAGAGAGGGTTTGTAATTATCTGTTTCTGGGCTCCCATTACACCTGAAAAGAGAGAGAGAGAGAGAGAGAGAGGGATGAGGGCGAATGGACACCATCCCCGTGGCGAGAGAAGCAGAAGAGGGCTCCTGGAGAACGTGACGGGAAATAAGAACAGGCCGAGTGGCAGCCGGAAATTACAGAGTCTACAAGCAGCAAGTACTGACAGTGAAACTGACAATATGTACGGAAGAGATGGGGAAATAGCCGGGCGGAAAAGAAGTTTCGTTGACTACTATTGGACAATTGTCCCTCGGACATCCTCGCGTCGCCAGCAAAAGATGACAATCGAGATTTTCGAGAGACACGAGCTCGCTCGATATTATCGCGGGATATCTATAGCTATCGCGGTATTTTTTTAATTCGAAAACCGATTAATTATCACGCTATGAATGATCATTAATATATAAATGATCATTATTATCGGCTACTCGAAATCTAAATTACAATTCGATATTTATATATTTATAAATATGTGTATAATTAAAATGTACAAATTAATTTGCCTCTCCCATTTTCATGTTGGTCTGAAATTCTCTATTTTAATTTGAACAATTTATATTATATATATATATATATATATAACTTTTATGTGACATTGCACGTATTTAAATTTTGTACCTTAAGATTTTGTCTATTTTATACTGCTGACGTTAGGTAAATGTCCAACATATCGCGAGAATGGTAACGATGAAGAACGTATTTCCAGACACAATCGCGCTTCGTATTGGACGTGTCCACTCATCATTGTCACGAGTATGTTACGTTTCTTCGTAATGGCTACCAAGAAACTTCCGCTGCGGGCGTCTAACATCCGACAGACAATTTTCTGTGGACAATTCGGCCGCAGCATCGTCGTCCTCGTCGTCGTCGTCGTCGTCGCAGATACGACGGAGACGAAGAGACGATAGTTGGCTCGCTAGCAAACTCCAATCTCCGGATGCCCTCTCGAGCACACCTCTATCAAGGGGGATGGAGTAAAGCAGTGTTCCCACCCCTTCCTCCCCGTCCCGATCGTTTTGCGATCCTCGTCCTCCGTAAGGGCGAATCTGCCTCTAACGATGCCGCCGCCGACTTCCTTTTTGCTGGGTAGAAAGAGGGAGAAAAAGAGAACTGCCGGCACTTTTCTTAAATGGCGAAAAACGGGTGGGTGGTCTTTTTGATGAATCGGCGCCGAACTGCGTCCGGCATACGTAAACCTCCCCGGAGGGAATCACGACGATCAGGATGAACGATGCGTTCGCGCTCGCGCGACCAAGCGAGAAGAATGGCGAGAAGGAACGAGAACGACACGACGACGACGACGACGACGGGGGTGGAAACACTTGGAGGGAAAATTCCGACACTTCTGTGCCAGCAGATACGTCCAGTATAGGAAATTAACCCCCTGTCGCGCACGCGTTTCTTCGCATTCTATGTCTGAAGGAAGGGAGAAAAAACGATAGGCCGCAAATGTGTATAAATGTAAGCCATAAATATAACATTTACTATATTTTTATATTTTTACCTTTTTCTACGACATTTCTTCTTTCCATCTTTTTACATGATACTGTATAATAATTGAATTAAATCAATTAATAGCATAAGAATTAAAATGCATTATGCATAGTCTTCTCGATAAATATTTCTCTAAATAGTTAATAATTAAAAATATGATAACTATAAAAACTACAATGCATATAATTAAAATTATAAGGCATAATTATATGCATTGTAGTTTTTATAGTTATCATATTTTTAATTATTAAATATTTAGAGAAATATTTATCGAGAAGACTGTGCATAATGCATTTTAATTGTTATGCTATTAATTGATTTAATTCAATTATTATACAATATAATGTAAAAAGATGGAAAGAAGAAATGTCATAGAAAAAGGTAAAAATGTAAAAATATAGTAAATGTTGCGAAAAGGTTAATTATTCATCCTTTAATTTTCACATATATATTATCACAGCTAGAAATCTGAGTCGTGTCGCTACCTTTCTTAGTTTCTGAAATACAATATTTTGAAGTATTACATTTTTATTCCTGATTATATTCAGTGTTTTATACTTTGTGTTGTTCATACTTTTCTCTTTGTTAACATTTTTTATCTCCCTTTGTGTACGCTATCTCTTTTGTCTTCAATATGACCGTTACACTATTGTCATATTTCATCTATTTCTGTCAGTTCTTAAACATGCAACTATATATACGAGTTTTCGAATGCAAAATAAAATTTGTATTTTATTATTTTATTTTACTGCAAAGTATAAGCGAGGAAAATATATATACTCCATCTCTCTCCCTGCATTTTTGTTTCTAAAAAATCTATCTCTCTCAAACTAATATATCTCTTTTAAATTTTTTAAAATAAAAATTAGGCTTGTGTGTGGATGAGATTATAATTTTCTTTGAGATAAAAAGGAACTTTTTCTCTTTCTCTCTCTCTCTTCACTCACGCATGTCACTTTCTGTAAAGTAAAACAATAAAATACATTTTCCACGTAAGTTAAAAGTTTACTTTTTTCTATGTATAATCCTCGTTTTGGATAAAATGTTGCAAACTCATTGTGAAATTATATACAATTATAATAAGCATTTTTTAACATGATATGTCAAGATCAACGTTATTATAACTGATAATCCAATTATATATTTACTGTATTATATTTAAGATAGGTATTATTTTTAATATAAAAAGTTTTTAAAAGTTTTAAAAAATGTTGATACACATCTCAAAAAGTTCGCAACGTGATTCAAAGTGATTCCGAACTCTAATAATAATATAAAGTAAAAATCAAAGTAATCGGAGAGGTGCAATCTTTTCGCAATATTGCCGAAGATATTTTTTCGAAAAAAAAAAGGGAAGAAACTGATATAATTTTTTTTACGAGTAAAATTGATTGTCGCTTATTGCTTTCAATAACCAGCTTGTCGATCCTTCGTAATATCTCTTACGCCCGTAATAAATCAGGATATACAAGCGGCGTTCGCTCCAGCGGGGCTAAAGTATTACAGAATCGAGAGCAGGTATACGCCCGGCGGTAGTGACGTTCTCGTTTCCTACTAGAAGAAATTAACGTCTAGCAACGGGAAACTTCATTTAGGGGTAACTCATCGCATCGTCGAACACGGCGCGATTGTTTCACGCGATGAAACGCGCGCGCCGCGATGATTGATTAAAAACTTACTTAGTGATAGGCGGACGCGCGAACGAAACGATTATCGAAGCTCGACTCTGAAAAGCTAAACGGAGGGGCCGCGCGATCGCGAAATATTAACGACGCGCGTTTCCACCGAAGTTGCATGATTAAAACCCTTAAAGACACTCCGCAGGAAGACAATCGCGTGCTAAGCGATCCTTCTAACCAGGGTCCTTATATTTCGCCTATATATATATGTACCTACCTTTCACCGCGAACTTCGTGCCGCCTCGTTCTTCCCTCTGTTACCACCGACAGCCCCTAGAGATCTGGAAGTTCGAAGGTGTCTCGTAGCCGATAGTTATACCACGCAATCTCTTAGGGTAGATTCACGGCGAGTGAGCAGTCGTCTGATACCCTTTCTTTTCTTTGCCTCCTCTTAAAAAAAAAAAGAATGATAAAAAACCGAGGTATTATTAAGGATGCATATGGGAGATACAATCGGAGACAAAAGTATCAACGCTATTCATCTTAGAAAAAATCGCTATGGTTTAATCAATTATTATTATTTTCTTTTAAATGGTTTAATGAATGTGAATGTAATTTTGCAACGTTATTCTTTAAAGTTTCAGTTATACATGTAAAAAATTTAAAATACAGAGTATCATTTTTTCGATTTGTTTTTTTAACGTAATATAATCAATTCGAGTAATGAATTTTCATAAAATTATATGTAAAACTAACAGAAATTTAAATTAAAATAACTTTTAAATGAGTTAGTAAATTAAAAGTCAAATGTTAACAGTAACTTTATAGTATCAAAGCAGAAGTTAATCTATAATTTTATAGAAGTAATTTATAAATTTCGTACCATTTTTAGATGTCTCCCATACATCCTTAAAGGATGAAACAAGATTATTCTAGAGATTATTCCGGACGTGGGAGAAATTTTCAAAGTTCATCTATTTGATTTTACACAAAACATAATTTTATGATTTGCGTTTAAGAAATCTAATCATGGGAATTACCGCATGCTCGCGCTTTAATGAATTCGCTCTTGAGACCGTATCACGTCTTTTATCGTATATTCATACTATATCATCCTGGAAGAACGCTATTAATTAAAGTAATAATATCGAATATCGCATCTCTCTCTCTCTCTCTCTCTCCTCCATCGGCTATATAACTCGCAACATCCAGGCCGTAACGTAGTCATCAAATATTTTGTTGCGGCAGGCGCGACCGCCGCTCTTAAGATCGTAACATATGCGAGCGTTCGCTAAAATATTATTCAGTAGTCGTGTCTCGAGGTGCGCCGCGCAGGACCACGAAAAATGGCACCCGAGAATTTCTGATGCGGACGGCTTTTAGGGCCAACGAGCGCGTAGGTAGTACACGCGTAAAGAGGGAAATGCCACAGGCGGCGAGAATACATTTCAGATATACACGAATGCAAAATATTTTTTGAACACACGTGAAAGCGCCGTTAAAGCGTAATGCGGACAACAATAACGCGCCGAATTGGAACGCGAAATTTTAATGATCGTGCTCTCAGATCCTTCATCTCGCGGCTGTTTAAGAATACAATAATATCGAAGTCGTAAGATGCCCTTCTAATAAACGTAAATAAATAATCTCAAGAGAGCAGTCGCATCTCTTCCTGGTGTTCCTTCAAGAAATTTCATATATTTCGTGTGAAGAACAAAAAGTTGGAAAATACGGAAAACATTATAACCACCCACGATCGTAAACAGTTTGTCATAACAATATATCATAGTGAATATACATACATATATAATTCATACGAAAAGTATAGCTCAGACAAAATCTGAATGGGACAATAAATTTTGTTTCGAAATAATTACATAAGCATCCCCAGTGTAGAATGAATTAATCGATCATCAATCTTACATATTTGTTTTTCTCCCCTTTGAAAAATAATTTAATAGATAGAAATAAATAATCAAACAGATAGACGGAAACCTTTCAGGACTCTTGAACGTCTCCAACGTAAAAGCAAGCGGCCGCAGATAAGAGGGTGCTTTTAAAGATATAAAATACAGTGGCACACACGTAAAAGAGAGCCAGGCAGTGCGCGAGACCCTCGCTCGCGCCGTTTATGTCCAGAATGTTACTCTTCTCTTCCCGAGAGATTCGTAAGATCCTCGTAAAAGGCACGTACAGGATCGATCCGGGAGAGTATATCGCTCGATCGCTCATATATCGCGGATATATAGGGAGAACGCGACACTTTCTTATTAAGCTCGCGCACTTATGCGCGTATATAGATATAGGGAACATGTACGTACATATGTATGTGTACAGCACTTAGGCACGTAGTAGACAGGAAGAAAAAAAAGTGCGCAGGATATCGAGACAACGGTGGGATATCCAAGTTATGCAAGTACGGCATTAACGCGCAGTGCCTCGTTAGTGCACTCGCGTGAGTTCCGAGCCGCGTCGAGCAAAACCTCTCGTAATTCTCGCTCGGCCTCGAGGAGAGAGAGAGAGCAAGCCGGGCGGATAAGTCGAAAACGCTGCGGCGCGAATCGTAATTGACCCCTTTAATTTACGTTGTCCTTCGCGTCGCGAGTTCTTTCTCCCTCGCTCGGGAATATTCAAGTAATTACTATTAATTAAGGACCAGGAGGGAAAAAAATTGTTCCCGCATTAGACGCATATATTGCGGAGAAAATCATTTAAATTGACAAAAGATACGAGATTTCAGGCGTTTTCGTAAACATACGTATGTATATTTAATTTACCAACCGCGAGCACACATATATATCCTCCGTAGAATTCAGGAACGCAAAACATGCGCCGGAATGAAATTTACTCATGGGGTGAGTCTCGACTCCCACTGCGACTCTCTCTCTCTCTTTCTCTCCAGGCGGGAATTGCTCGCGGGCGCGTTCGCCATTCACGCTAAATTAAGCGTCGGCAAGAGGGGAGAAAAAAATTAATCCCTCGGTAGCGGAGATCAGGCGAGCCGATATGCTTTTTCACGGGTCAGGTCATCCAACGGGGAACAAAATTGGGGGTGGACGAGGCGCCGTGCCGGGAGGCCACGTCGGATTCTAGGATAGAAGTTCTGTCAGGATAGGCCGCATCCTGGATCTCGAATGGGCTACATTAAATATAAACAACAAATGTGCGGCAAGGACAGGACGACGGGACGATAGAAGCGGGAATGTCGAGGGAGAGTGAGATAAAACAACCTTTCTCTCTTCTTATCCAACCGAGTCCCATGGCACCTTCTTTACGTGGAATTCCTTACAGGGTGACTTTTCCAACCGGTCGATAGACAAATTTCGCACCTCCCTTTACTTTATTTCCCGCCTCGGTTCTTTCCTCTGGTTTACAAACGCTTCGGTAATTTTCCTTTGCGCACCTGATATTCCTCTCTTTGAAAAATCTTTCGTAATATAAACTTAATTGTTAGTTGCAAACGATCCAGATTTTTATTTGATTTTATTTATACTTCCTTGTCTTTTCAAAAAGAAGTTTTGAGAAAAGATTCTTTTAATGAAAAGAAAGAAATGTTAAAACCATACACAAACATATTTTCATTATTTTTTTAATGTTAATATTATGATGCGAGATGTATTTAAGAGTTTGCGTTTATTAGTAGTTATAAATATAAAAAATATACCATATTATGACGACAGCGCGTCATAAAACATATAGTTAATGCGCGATTTTATAGGTCAATATAAAATATGAGAATCTTTTTAAAGTATCTGTATTTCGACCTTTATTCTCTATAATTTTTATCGCAATGCCACACGTTGCGCGCACAATGTACGAATATTATTTTATATATTATTTTATTCGAAAAATCGGAAAAGTGGAATTAAACACAAATGAGAGAAGTTATTCTCAGGAAAAATACGTGAAAATATTGATATGCAGCATTTTGGTTTTTTAACACATAAATCTCCCTGAATTAAAAAGCTTTAAAATGCACAGTTAATTTAAACACGGTTAAAAACGTTTTTAACCCGAATACTAGAGATTTTAATGCTGTCGACAGAGAAATAAAAAATTTTACAGCAAATCAATTTTAATTTTCACAAAGCTGTATCTGCAAACCGCGCGTATAATTAAAAAAAGCTAAACATTAAATTGTTCATTCATCGAGAGTGGTATTTCAAACGTAACCACTCAAAATTAATTTTCTCTATTGTAATTAATTAATATAATTCGCTTATAACACACAAATTACAAAATTCAATAAATTTTGCCACATTTATTTGATCAAACGATGTGAAAAAAAAGAAAACAATTATATCAATAAGCAAAAAAGAGAGAGAAAAAAGAGGTTGCGATTCAGTGTAGATCGCCTCTATAAAATCCTTTAACTAACAACTTTTCAGTCGAGATCACAGAGGAACGTCACCCTTTAGTTCTCACTTTTTTCCACGTAACAGTCCTGGATCACGAAATAGTTTTCCCTTTTCGAAGGTCTTTGACATGGTGCAACGTTTTTTTCACCTTTGTAAGCAATTCTATACTTTATTTTTAATTCGTGACAGGACTGGTGACCGCAAAGTCATCTGTCAAAGATCTCTTTAGGTTTGAAACATTATTGTATTTGAATTAAAATTATGATAAATCTTTTCTCAATTAAAATACTTATAGTTATTTGAAATTAAAAGAACGTTAATATTGATGTTTAATTCATTACATACAATGCTGACAGTTTCTTTGGAAATAAATAAATAAATTTGATGATAATGATTTTTCTTTTAATAACTTATATTATTGTCGCGTCTATAGCCTGCACTGCAATATTTTCCAGATACACTTAATCATTGAGAAATAACTCTTAAACTTCTTGGATTATAAAAATATAGTACTTTACCGTCTAAAAGTGGCTGTATCCTTTCGGAAGTATATCTCCGTATATGTGCTCCCGACTCTCTCTCGCGCACCTGCGCTTTGACCTAATCCCACAGCTTCTTGGTCTCTTTAGGCGCATTACAAGGTTTGGCTTCTTCGCCGCTCGACGTCACCATCCTATATATATGTATACAATTTACCAAGGTAGCGGCTGGTTCTGGAGACTACCTAGTAAAGCCGACGCTTCACGATCACTCTTTTCCGCTATTTAACCCTTCGCTACAAGTCTCTATCACGGTTTACTATCCTCCGGCAAAGGATTTAAGATAGAACTTTGAGAGCGAAATAGAAGAGAGAAAAAAACTCTATCGAGATTCAGTGCATCGAGAGATGCACTTTATATAATGAGATGAGAGATGCAAATTTATATATATATATATATATAAGCAACAAATTAATTGATTTCTCACAATTCCGAGGAAGAGTAAAAGTAATCTACTTTATTCTTGCTTTCAGCGTGTTTCTCGCAAAAGATAAAAAAATCGTATATTAAAATACATTCATTCGAACAAACTGTTCACTTCTTACGCGTCTGTGTTCCAACATTTCGCTTATATATATCTTATTTCTTCAAAAGCGTGCAGCTTTTCTTTCCTTTAACTCCGCGATGCAGACATCGTCAAGACAAAATCCGCGCGGCGTTTAAAAATTTTACAGCTACTCAAACGCGTGGCAGACGTCATACAAGTTTCATAAGTCTTCTCGGTATATTATTTTTATAGCGCATTTGATCGTGTGGCGCGCGCGCGCGGAGCAAACAACAGGTCGAGTGCATCGCAAAACTCTCTCTCTCTCTCTCTCTCTCTCTCTCTCGCCGAGATTTAGCCGAGAGGATTTCGCCTGCGCGATTCGCGGATCGATCGAGCGAGCGAGCGAGCGAGCCGGCTCGTAAACTGAACGAAAGAGTAAAGGCACGACGTATCGCACCCCCGGCTAGACTAAGGACTTGAACCCAGGCGAGGTGCGGGCGTGAAAAGGAGGGTTGACGATTGGCCGACAACGATGGGATTGGTATCGGTGCGGATGGTTGGCTCGGTGGAAACTCGCGGAGAGACGAAGCCCCCACCGGGAATCGGCCCGAGAGAGGGTGGTAGGAATGGCTCGTTGAATATTTAAGCTCCGGGAGGAAAGATCTCTCTAAAACGTGCATTTTATGAATGATTGAGCGACCCTCCATGGGACCTTCGCAGCGTCGCCGAGTATAGCTTTCATGGCTCGGAGAAAGGAGGTCGCAGGTAAGATGTAGAACGTCGACGAAAACTATAAGTGACTATTTGCTTCGACACGACGCGACGCGCCTCGCGTTAAAAGATCGCCCTCGGAAGTTCCCGATATTGCGTGAAAATGATGTCGTAATGTGTGCTGCTTAAATTAAGTTTCTTACTTGATATGCATATCAAAGTTTTTCTTTGTGAAAAATTAAGTAAGTGTTATATATGTGTATATCGTTTTGCTCATTTATTTTTCACATTTTATGTTGAATTATTAATGAATGATTTTCTCTTCGTGCGTATGACCATTCGAAAATGTAGCACTGTAAAGCGCAGTGATAATTCAATAAGAAACGATAATACGAACATGGAACTAATCCAAAGGCTTCTGCATCTAATTTCTATCGCCCTCGTTGATGCGCTATATCGCGAATATTAACATGGCATTAATAATCGTATGTATATTTGCGGTTGCGCAGAACTAGAGGTACCCGTGTATAAGCCGCCCTACGCTCCACTATTAATTGCATTCGCTCGTTAAATATTCCCTGTTAATTTAAATGCATTAAATACGAATATTACCTTGCCGCCTGCTTTGCCATACGCGCCGATATATACGTACATGAAATATTTATATATACAAATTACGAGGCCAATTCCGCAATTAGCCGCGAGAGACAGAGAGAAATAGAGAAAGGGGGATGAGCAAGGAGCACCAGGAGAGCTTTCCGGGTTTGTTTCCTATCCAAGTGCGAAACTGCAAAGGAGACGAGACGCCCAGTTGCGGAATAAGGGATAACGCTTTCGTGGGAAGGCTCCGGGTCTCTCTTGATTATCCGGGTGGTGTGAGACCGGGACTCACACCGAGGATATATATTCAAGGATTGGGTAAGGTCCTGCAGAACCCACAGGAAATGCTATGCGGGCGGCGGCTTCCGAGTGATTGGCAATGGCCACCACGGCATTCCTAATCTTCCTCGAGTTCTAGCGTCACATTCGCGATTCGCCCCTTTTTCATGTCGCTTCTCACACCTTTTTCTCCTATTTCTCTCGCTCTTTCTCGCCACACGTTCTCAGATAATAGAATGCCGTTCCGCATCCATACGCGCGATCACGATGCCTCGATCACGCTTCAGCATCCGTAAGTAACGTTCCTCTCGCTTGATTTCATAATCCGGCGTGAATTTTCCGCGCGATGCGAGCGATGCGTTGAATTAATCATGAAGAGATGTAATCGTTCGGACAATGTCGGACCGATGTCTTTCACGTTTTTACGAACTATATATACATACATATATATATATAACATATATATATATGTGTGTGTGTGTGTGTGCTCGCGTGCACATATCAACGCCGTTCCGTAATGGGGTTTGTTAAGAGCACTTTTCAGAAACTATATACGCGCGGAGCGCTCTTGATGCATAATTAATGCAGTGATATATACGAAGAGCTAACACGAGTATTTTTAAATTTTTAACTCACCCTTCTTCCTCTCCCTCGCCTTGAAGTGGTATGGCATGAAGCATCGCGAGACGGCACGAAATAAACATTCACGCTACTATATCTGTTTCATGCTTCCTCCCATTTTCCAAAACATGCGAATGATCAAACAACCATTTATGGACTCTGCTACACAAATGTCATCCAGCTAATGTTGAATATTATCGATAAATATGTAATGGCGCTTTTATTCCAAATGCAACTGAAACGTTCGCATCAACGCAGACAAATATGAGCATATTATTATTATTATTATTATTATTATTATTATCATTATCATTAACATAATAATTTTTCCCTCTTTTTCCTCTTACTGAATTTTTTTCTCTCTTATAAAAATGATTACTATAAATTTTCAGATAAAATAAATCTATCTATCTGTCTTTCTGACATATATATAGAGTTGTAGTCGTGCATAATAAAGTATAGCTTTATTCATTTCTGATGATAATCCATCGGACTGTAGACTTATGTGCGGACCGTTCGCATATCGTGTAGTCGTAGATATCGTTACATAATTATAAGCACGACCTACTACGTTACTTTCGACGTATTACACATGGCACTCTTACAGTAGCACTCTTATCAGATCACATGCGAACACATAACGCATTTTTTCACGCGAGATTAAGTATTTTGTACATTTCCTGCCACGCTAACGTCGACCCGGCCTTTGATACCATTGCAAGGGGTTTTTCTACTATGCATTCGGTCTGCTAGGATTTACGAGCTTGCCGCTGCTTTTTCGAATTATTTTCAGAATCGCGTTTCCGATAAATAGAATAATGTATGTAGTGCACATAAATCTGTCTAATTATTTTACTGCAAATTTACAGGAAAAAATGGTTAAATTTATCGTGGCTAACTTTGCGAGAAAAATTTACGCGATAATAAAATGATAATACATAAAACTTTACTGTCTTAATAAAAATTGTCAGTTGAATTTCTTATTATAAATTGTCAATATGTCTTTATATAAACAATTTTTATATTAAACCAACGACAGAAATAGTACAAATCTGTTTTTAAGCTGAAATTATTTTATCAAAATATTTAAAAACTTTTTTGTAAATAATAAGAGAAAAAGAGAGAAAGGAAAAGATAGATATAATATAAAAAATAGGTATATAAATGAATAAATGGTTACAACTTTTTG